CACCAGAAATTCAAAATGAGTTCATAAACTTGATGGACAATAAAGTTAGGGAATCGATTGTTGGGAAAGTCAAGCAAGTTTTTTTTTACCATTCTCTTATGCTTGATTCTACCCCCAGATGTTTCTCACCAAGAACAAGTCTCTCTAATAGGTCGTTACTTGGATGTTGATACTTTCGAACTAAAAGATTCATTCATTGGTGACTTGGAAATTTTACAACCTGATGCACAACATTATAAAGAACTTGTTCTGAAAACTCTTAAAGACATTGGACTGGACTTTGATCTGTGCAGAGGTCAAACCTATGATAACTCAGCCACAATGACATAAATCCAAAGGCAACATTTCTGAACTGTGATAATCACTCTCTCAACCTAGCAGCTCTTCATTTTGATGAAGCAATCTAGCAATTGTCACCTTTTTTTGGAACTACATGAATTGTTCAACTTGTTTTCAAATTCACCCCAGAGATGGTCCAAACTGAAAAAAGCTGGAGGCCGGAGTTTTAAAAAGGAGAGTAATACAATGTGGTCCGCAAGAGAAGAAGCTACGCCGGCAGTTTCCTTGCATCTCGACAAAATCAAACTTTCTCAATCAACAACTAAAAGAATGGACAATAGAAGCAATGCACAGAATCTTCATGCAGTGGAAAATTATGAACTTTTTGCTTATCTGGAATTCTGGTCAAGCGCCAAATCAATGTAGTTCAGAAGAAGCTACAAAAATCTAGACTGCACATATGGGAAGCTGCTGAAGAAATTTAAACCCTTTCATGATTTCTGCTAAATGATGAGAAACTGACGAAACTGATCACCCAATCCATCTAAAGAACAAAAGAATGTAGTTAATGCTATGGATTTCCTGTAATCAAAACAACCAGAAGAAAGAAAACACTTGATGGGGAGTTGAGTTCTGATGTAGGACTGTCAATAGAACTGCAAATCTAAGGTGTTGCGACAGAAGTGCTGGGCAGACTTCATATGGAGATGAAGGACAGATTCGTAAGAGTGGAAACCATGTAGACACATTTGGGTTTCTTCTTGAACCAAGACACCTCTTGGAGTCTGTTGATGATGACATGCTGATGAAAAACTGTGTTACTTTTTACTGTTTGATGAAATACAGGCAAATCGCTTGTTCAATGATGTCATTGATGCATGACCATCAACAAATCAGTGCCACAATCACCAATTAACATATTGAGAAAGCTGGCTTCATATGGCAATAATGTGCGCTCAAACCTTGCAACATTCATTCGAATACTTCTAACTCAGGCCACTTCCATTGCGTCATGTGAGAGATCATTCTCAAAGCTATGTTATTCAAAAACTATTCAGGAGCACAATGACGCAAGAAAGGCTTATCATGGCTTTGATGTCAGTGGAGTCACAAATACTAGACAGTATCGATGTAGATGATGCTGCACAGAAAGCACGATATGAATTGAGATTTGTCTGTCACTTGTGCATTATTTCGTCAATAAACAACGGTAGGCTTATTATTCATTAAAAGAGTCTTAATGATTATTTCTTGTTAATTTTCCTGATATACTATACCAATTTGAATGTAGGGTATATTTATTAATTACATTATCTCAAGTCATGTTGTCAAAATGCAAGGGGCCCCCAAATCCCTAGTTACGCCCCTGTATCAGACTTGCTATATCTATTCATCTCTGTTTCTTACTCCATCTATTCATCTTTCTGTCTTCTCTATCTATCTTGACATTTTTAAATAGTAGTGAAATCTCTAGTCTACGTCTTTTGCAGTAGTGTAATGTTTCCTAAAGCAACTTAAGACAGAATTCGTCCTCAAAATTTCCTATTTAGAATTCCATTTTTCCCCCAGAGACTCAACACAAGTGCCTGCTTTATTAAGTTCACCTGTAGCTCCATCCGACGTCGAACAGGCTCGACTCATAGAGGAATATTTTCAACATGAATTAATCGATAAGAGAAATGCTCGAATGGCTCAAAGAGTTAGCTACCTTCTAAATCAGTATCCACATACAAGTTTCTTCTTTGCCTTTGGAGCAGGTAAATAAAAATAAATAAATAAAATAAATACAAAATTAAAGTCATTTTAAAAAAATTAAGATAAATATAGTTAATATACTTATACTCCATATCAATTTCATTTTTTTTTCTACTTTCTTAAACCTGTTGAAAGGTCATTTTGTTGGTAATCAAACTGTGATAGACCGACTGGGTCAATTAGGCTATAATGTGATACATAACAAGCCTGACCAAAACATTACCAGGTAAAATGTTAGGCTACTGTTTCTCATTTCTTTATTTAGCCTTTTACTTTGTATTGGCCCTATATGTAATCATCTTCTTTTTTGAAGTAACTTTTGTATTATATATGTTGCTTTTATAATGTCTTTTTTTTTTTTTATTTCTTGAACCTTAAACCTCCTATCAAGACTTATGAGAAATACAAGTAAAAAAAGACCAAAGAATATTAGAGAGAGGAAACGACAGGAGAGGCTTAATCAGATTTGGGAAAAGCTCATTATAGATAGGTAAGTTTATCATGATTGTAGATTTTTTTTCAGTCTCATATGGGGCTAGTTTAATGCTCTACAGCAGAAACACAAGAGGGATTCTTATAAGGTAGACCCTGAAAATTTTGTGAGATCACATACTGTGAAGAACTTTATTAACCTGTCTAGAGTTGATACATACATATATATATATCCTGTATATTTTGCAACATCAAATGCAGACAAAGCAGTTGTCAGCAAGGGCCCTTCTATAAGTCTCAAATGTGCATCCTGCGACCTTAGTGAGAACCCTCCAGCTGTCTTTTTAAGAGGTCATCCACTGCAAGCTGCTTTCTTATGTGTCAAAAAAAAAAAGTTCCCCTTTCAGACCTTGTGGTCTATAGGGCTGATGGTGTAAAGGTCATCTGATTCTGTGGCCTACGGTTAACGAGGGTGTCATGTGGCCAGCACAACGATTAACCGCCTTTACTTTTCCCCAACTAGTGTCAGGTATCCATTAGAGCTGGGTGGACTCAGAGGCGCCCAAGGATCCCGAAATAAAAATACCAGTCTTCACCAGGATTCGAACCCGGGACCCCCGGTTCAGAAGCTAATCGCTTTACCGCTCAGCCACCGCGCCTCCTTCTTATGTGTCAGTGAGAGAAAATGGCATCTGATTTGATCTTCAGAGCACTTTCAAATACATTGACAAAAATCAGCAAAAAAAAAAAAAATTGACTAGTTAAAAAAACAGTTTCCAAAAATTGACAAAGTTTTTTTTTAGGTCAAGATACCTTCAACGAACAAGCAATCCAGATTTAACAGACAAACAATTCCAGCATCAGTCAAACTCAGCTCAGCAAGGAACAAGTAGTTCAATGATCAATCTTCCAGTAATTGTTTTTTTACTGGGGATACTTAATCTTGTTGCATGAAGATCACATTTACTTGTACTATTCTCTTTGATACTAATGTGTTTTGTATTAATTCCATTTGTCCTCATGACATTTGGCAACTTTATTAAGATGTTCATGAGCAACCTACATTTGACTTTTGACATATTTACTGGCAAGCAGCCAACTTGTATCCCTGATTATGGAGGGTGAGGGTGGAGATACTATTTTCCTTCATTAATATTGTTGCTGTTGTGAATCATAGCAGATATTATTAAGATTATTCCCCTTATATTGTATTTACTGATTCTAAGAAACACTAATTAGAAAAGATAGATCTGATGATCAAAATGGTGTCACTGTTAGTACATGAAATATAGAGTGTATTCAATTTAGATCAAAATTGAGGCCTTACTAATTATTTATGTACTTTGGCATCTTTCAAGATTTACTTAAGCAAAGTGAAAAACAATGCATGTAATAAAATTATTCTTTGAAGTATTGCAGTTATTAAAGTCATATTACAGGTAATAGCCAATTTTATTGCTGGTGGCAGGGTTTCCAAGAAATAGAATATATATATAATAAATGTTATAAACTCTGTGTATATATTATATATATACATATAAACAAAAAAGTGTATTGTTTAAATGATGATAATTGAGCAATTTAACAATGTCCCCCTTCTCCACAAGTTTTTGGCATTGCTATAGCAACAAGAAAAATATATAATTTATTTTTACATAATTTATTCTTCCATCTCCAATGATAACAACCAATAGAATGTAATATTCTCTTGAGGTAATAGTCTAATAACAGACTTTATGATCAATGTAAAGTGTAACAGTTAATACATGAAATATAGAGATCAAAATTGAGGCCTTCCTTATTATTTATTATTATTATTCCTTATTATTTATAAATTTGTGTGTGATTTCAAGTTTGACTGAAGCCAAGTGAAACATAATAAATAAAGATGCATCTGTTACCTTACATCTATAAGAACAAAGTCCTTTCAGTGTGCACTTTCAATGTATTAGTTTCTCAGGTCTAGAAAATGATATTGTACATGACATTAAAATAACTGACATTTTATACAAATGATACAATGACATTTTCAAAGGCAAAATTCAGCTTGTATAGCTTGCAGAAAACTACAAAACATTTGAATACAAAATAAAATATGTACATAACAAAATGGTCTGTTTCCTTGCATTTAGAATGACAAGAACAATAATAAGATTTCAGAATAACAATTAATTACATCTTCAAAGACATTTCTTTAGAAATAGTTCATAGCAATACATGAAATCAATTTTCTTGTTTTTCTTGTTCCACTTTTTCCTGTTCCACTTTTTCTTGTTCCACTTTCTTCTCTAACTTGGGTGGTGCTTGAAGCTTGTTAGCCTAAAAGGAATAAAAAAAAAAAAATTTTAACATTCAGTGATATTTCTACACAATTACGTATATATTATCAACCAGCAAATGTACTAAGCTTCTTATCCAGCAAATATTACTCACCTTTATAAAGCCTCTACCTCTCATGAGCTCTTCCACTTTAGCATTGTAATAATCATACACAAATTGTGCCATTTGTGGCATGTCAGAAATTAGCATGGCAGATTCTACTGGTACTTCTTGCAGCTGTTGGAAACAAAACATAATAATAATGATAGAAGAAATGCAACAATGTCTTTGATGACTTGATTCAATGGTGGAAGTAAGAGAATTACTTTCTACTACAGAGTGTTTTAGATTAAATATTGAATTAAATTCATACTATTAATGCTGATTCATAGGTTGGAAATGAAATGTATGAGTAAATTGTCTCAGCAAACTATTTAATTCAGCAGTTAGCTCACAAACAATGTTTTAAAAAAAATATATGCATCCATCATAATTTCTCAAAATAATAAAAATGCCATTAAATGTTTGATCCACAACTTTGGCTTACCTTTCTCTCACAAGGATAGTGTTCATTAGGCAAGAGATAGAGAACTTGAGCTCGAGATGTTAACTGTAACATAAACATAGGACTCAAAGAAATGGTTCCATTTCTACATAACTAACTATATAAGGTAACAGAACTTGAAAGCCATTAGTTGTTTGGGTGCTGTAAGTGTTTGTGCCAGTACCAGGACACTAATAAGACACTATGGGTTGTATTAATGTTGGTATGCAATATTCTTGACATCTATTTGATTAACTTTTCTGATGTGTCCTCACATTTTTGCAGCAATTATTGTTATATACTGAACCTCTCATGTCAATCCTTTTTTTTTTATTTAAATAAACATTATTTAACCTCCTTGAGCATGATTTATTGTGTTAAAATATTTGGTGAGCTGAAAGGTGGTCAGTGAAACTGAGTTACCCCATGGGAGCGCTTTGAAGACCAGTTTAGGCGCCAACTTGCTTTAACTGACAGAAGAGAGCATCTGGCTGCAGCCAGCTTCAGAAAGAGACAGCTAGAAATCACTTACAAAGGCCGTGGGATACTCATTTGAGGTGAAAAGGAAATTTTAAATCAACCACCATCAGACAATGGTTATGTCTACGCTGTATGTGGCAAAACATGTAGGTCATAGCTGGGGCTGCATAGCCATGGGAAATATTACATTCCTCATTAGCCTAAGCAGTGCCAGCTGGGACATACATATTATGGTAGATTTAGGTTCTCTTGTTGCTGTCTACATCTGCCTTGAGAGTGGATTCTCTTTTGTCTCCAATGTGTATCCTGCAGGCTTGTAACAAAATCTCCAGCTCTTGTTTGAAAGCTGGCTGCTGCCAATTGTTCTCTTCTATGTCAGCTAAAATAATAATAAAAAGTAAAAGTATCTCCTTCAGACCTTGCAATCTATGGGGCAGATAATGTAAAGCTTATGCTAATCTGTTTCTATGGTCAATAAAGAGTGTCATGTGACCAAACACACAATGAAAAACCACCTTAACTTCCCAAATGTATGTCAGATACTCATTAGAGTCAGGTGGACTCAAGCATCCTGAAATTCCAAAGTAAAAAACTCCAGTCTTCACCAGGTTTCAATCTCCCTATTTCAATGATAAATGGTATTCCTCAGACAAACAGAAATAATAACTATGACCAATATATTCCTTACTATGTTAAAAGCAGGTGTAAGCTCAAAGCAGTTGCTGAACAAAGATGACCTGGCAAAAATATAAAGTCCAAGCCTGGCCCTGGACATAGCTACAATCAAACGTCTGACATCTCTGGAACAAATATCAAAATACAAGTCATTTAATATTTGTATATTGCTAGAGCTAAAAGTAGATTAACAAGAAAAACTTTTTTTCAAAGAAAAAATCTCTAACCTAAGATGTCCAACAGCCTTGGTTCTCACTAGTGACAAAAGAATGAAATTGTTTTGTTGTCCTTGGTAACGATCTACTGTTGTGACCTAAAGAATTAAATGTATTACAGTCATAAAGGTTAAGGCATTCATGCTGTTTGAAATTCAACCATATTTTTCTTTTAGAAATACCATCATACATTTAGTTTGTATAATCATACATTCCTTTAGTCATGAATTGTCATTTTCATCTATTATGTTTCTTATACATGAATGTATTATTAAAAACACTGAACTCAGTAATATAATCCCTAGTCATAACTTTCACCTTTAAAGAACTATTAAAATAATTGTATGGGAAAAACATTTCAAGAGGTTAACATGGTTGATTATATCAAGAAACTTGGAAAAGTATTGTTTAGTGATGATCTCATATGAGCTCACCTTTTTCATCGATACAAATTGTTATCTTCATTTAATGACAAACTTTTACAAATAGTTTGAAATTAGAAAATAATAGTAAGATAGTAATTATTTATACAATTCAAACTGCTCAAATGACTAATTTATTGAAAACAATTACTAAGGAATGATTCTATAACAACTTCTCCAAGGGAAATGTAAAAACCTGTAAGAAGTTGTCTACAATGAATGTACATGTTGCTTACTGCTGAGTTAGTTGTTACATAATAAATAAATTAAGTAGACATATAATCATTGAATGGAGGGGCTAAGTTAATATTTCAATTTGGCAGATGATATTTTAAATCAGTAGTGTTCAACTTTTTTTTTTTGGCCTTGAGACAGTATTTCTTGGGAGACACTGTAAAAAATCATGAGTCTAATAGAAACTGCCCTCACAGCTTCATTATGTACTGGGGGGGAGGGGGGGGGGGAGCTAGATATAATCTGTGGGCAGCAAGTTGGGCATCAGTTTTAAATTATTACCTTATGAGGCCAGCCAATCAGAGGATTATTTCCACATCTCTGTCGAATGACATCTCTAATTAGATGTTTCTGTCCATTATAAGTTGTCAGAATAGAAATCTGTTCACCTGGGTAGCCAATCATTCTCATATACATGAACACAGCCACAACATATTCAGCTTCAGCCAGATTCTAAAAGTCAATCAAAGCAAAACCAATTAGGATTCTAATATGCATACAAAACCATTTAGAATTCTATTTTACATACAACTAATTAATTTAAATTAAAGACATTAAATGTAGAAGTTACCAAATTAAAAATAAAAGATTATTCAGTATTAAATAGCTTTATAAAATGGTTTCAGGTTGTCCTTGCATTAAAAAGTAGGTCTCAGACATTTCCTTCTCCTATAAATGTATGTCTATGATTTACTGTTAAATATAATATTTCAATTGTGTGAATACCTGATAGAAATAAGGATTAGGTTCTGATTCTCCAACACCATTAAAGTCACCCACATCAATCAACTGAAACTCATATAAGAAACCAGCGTTGGCAAGTCTAAATTCTGGTCTTATCAGTACATGTGGTAGAGAGTTGAGCTTCTTGTAGCGCCAGTTGTACAGTTGAGCCAGACTAAATAAGTGTTGGAAACAATGAATTAATACCAATGAGACAAGTTTATTGGCAGAGAAATAGAAATCAAATAGTAGATATACCTGTACCTAGCTCGACCCTGAGAATCAAGATCAATGAGACAAGTTTATTGGAAAAGAAATAGAAATCAAATAGTAGATATACCTGGACCTACCCTGACCCTGAGCATCAAGATCAATGAGACAAGTTTATTGGCAAAGAAATAGAAATCAAATAATAGAAATACCTGGACCTAGCTCGACCCTGAGCATCAAGATCAACTGTTGGTACACCAAGTCTAACAAGACGAGTAAACAAAGATTGTTCCATGTTAGAGAACTTCTGAAAGGCCATGTTTTTAATAACTGGTGGAAGTTGGTGATGATCTCCAATCATAATCCATCTTTTTAATCTGTTATTCCCATCTTTAGGGTTCTACAGATTAAAGAAAAAAAATTTTTTTTTTCAAAAAGAGATAAGTGAAACCCAAGTAAAATCTATTTAAATAACACAGAAACTGGTAAAGTAAAACTTACCTAACAATAATTAAATTTTGTGTCTTATTCACTAAAGAAAAAATATTTAATAGTAAAGGAATCATATTAAAGGCTTGTAAATTATAAAAGTATAATCTGTCTGAGGCATTTTATGTGTCCAGAGACAATCTTTTCAACAAAACAATAAAAAATAATTCACATTTCTTTAAATTTTTAAATTGAATGGTTATTACAAAAAATGTAGGCATCTTTCAAATACGAGCAATAAAATCTTTGTAAGCAATTTAGTAACAATAAAATTTTTACAGAAATATGAAATAAGAATCTAAAGTATTGTACCAAAATGTACTAGAGAGTTGAAGAGTGAAGGTGTTAGGAAAGAGTTTGAAAGATTTCTATTTACCTGTAACAAGAGAGGAATAAAAGTTTCTATTTCCAAAATCTGAGCAGACTCTTCCATAAGAATGTTGTCAAACTGTCCAAAAAGAAAGGAGGTAATTAACAAAATTCTGATGTATTTCAAACCATTCCTGCATATCACAGTGAACATGTTTTAAATGTAAATTCAACTAGAGATCCTGAGTTTGACAGCCAAGTGCTTAAACCACTTAGCCATTATGCCACTTCTCTTGATAAAATTATTTAAAAAACTAGCAGTGAACTTATGCTAGGATTAGACATAAAAGTAAGTTTTAACCATATGTTATATTTGTGATTTACTATGAGAATGACGCATGTTAGGCCATGTTTTTTCTATAAAAAGAGTAATCGAAATTATGCCAAGAGGAGTTGAAAGCTACTTAATTAAGTTTAAAAAAATGAAAGTATCACTAAGAATGGCTAGTATCAAGCTACCTGAAATCCAACAGTTACAAGATCTCTTCTTTTCAAAGCTGCATGTGTACAGGTCATGGCAATAATTTTGGCCTCTTTGATCAACAAATAATTAGCCCTGTCAGAACCACTTCTCAAAAGTTCAAAGGCTCTAAATTCCTGCACATTGTAGAATGAAATCATTAAAGTCATAGATTAAAACATGTTGAAGCTTAATGTGTTGTTTTTTTTGTCTTGTTTTATGTATAAGGTTCTCATACAAGTAAAAACATTGCTATTTGGAAGGCCAAAGTCATGGTCAGTGTGTGTTCAATAGGAAAGGACTTAAAGGTCAATTTATGCTAAAATTCTAAATCTTGCAAGCCAGAAAAAGTTCTAAGCTATCAGTTAGATCTGTGTGTCAGACTGAAAGCTACAAAAAGTCTTTATTGTAATGAAAATCTATTTTAAGCACAGCTGTCTTACAAGGTCAAGAAAATAAATTTCTCTTCATACAGAAAAATAAGGTTTGACCCAAACAGAAACAAGATCATACTACATAAGGACAGACTAAACAAACAATGAGAACTGTAATACAGGAATCGTTCAACTAGAAAATTGTAAGACAAATTTCCATACAGACAATAAAGATTATTATTATTATTATGTTAAAAATGAACAAGTAGTCATTCTCTGGCGCTGCCAGGGTCGAGTTTCGCTAAAGAGAAACAAAATTCATCGTAGTCCCTTTAACAGTTTCCACTGGGGAATTTTCTGGTGATGTGGCAGGTCTG